AGACATGCAACTGTCCACTCACTGCATCAACAAAACAGAAAGGAAGACTTGTAACTTTTTTATTACAATATTTTTCTCGTAAAAGTTTAAATTTCTGTTCAACGTATGAAACAAACGGATCAAACATCAATCCAGTACTTCCCTCAATTCTTCTTCTAATTTAAATCTTTCAAAAAAGGTGACAAGGTCTATGGTTTAATTACATGACCCATTTTTCTCAAGGAAAAAATGAACAAAAAGGAAATCCTCTATAATTTACACATTAGTCTCTCAAAACCAAACGGTCCGCCAACTTATTCTAATATTCCCTACTCATGCCTAATCCGTCAATTAAAATTCAACTTGAAACATCGAATCATCCATATATTGCACTAATTCAAAATTTTTATTGTATAATAACTTGAAGAAAGTTCATGCATGGAAGATTGTTGCTAATCACAACCATATATATTCTGTTTGTCCTCTTATATATATATATACACACACACACACACACACAGATATAGATATATATATATATATATATATATATATATTCTACGTGTGAGATTGATATATAATTGAGGGACTAGACAAGCTTTTCTGGTGAGCTTATTAGTAATATTTGTGAATAATTTTACTCACACAACTATATATGATCATGAGAAGTTATCAGCTTTAATATATATATATATATATATCTTTTTTTAAGGCACGGGTGAGACAACCCATGTGATGTAGTACCGACCCGCACATGTATAATTCTCTAATGTCAATCATTATTAGAGTTTCAATCTTCACACGAAAACAATGCCAGAAGCGTCCGATTGAGGCCATTTGTAAATGTGAAACACATAAACCATTCAAATTCTGCTTTCAACAATCACATTATTTTGGTTCAATGATTCTCTTTTTCTTTTTAGCCTTGGAGATCAAAACAAAGATTCCTATTTCGTAGAGGCTTCCACGTTTAGTTACTTATATATGCTTTTATTGTACAAATTATAAATTGTTCCTTCACGAAACAGTTTTATTTTATTTTATTTTTGCTTTCAGAATCCGTCATCAGATTAGTTGAAGAGTATAAAGTATATACTATGAGCTTATTTAATGATATTAAACCAAGGTAGTGTTTGCTTTATGGCTTTGGATTATTTGGTGCAATTTAAATTGAGAGTATGTTTCAAATTAGTGTTTGAGAGATACAGTTAAAACTAATGGTTTTTAGGATTTGAAACCTCCCTAAATTTATTCATTTTGAACCAATATGCAAATATGGATGGTATCATGAAGTATACCGCGCGTGTGTGTGTGTGTGTGTGTGTGTGTGTATATATATATATATATATATATATAAAGTAGTTGAACATTATCATGTAATTTTTGAATATTATAAAGAATGAGAGGGACTATGGTATTTTGCACATTTGTCCCCTTAACTTAAGGCTTTAGCAGCTTGTTACCCTCTAAAATTAATCTCCGTAATTTGTTTAAAAAAAACTTGCTAAACCATTGCAATATGTACCCTATTTTGCTGATGGTCTGAATTGGTGGCAGAAAATCTCATTTGACTAAAAATTCTAACATCCCAATTAAAATCCTAACATAAATATTGTCTCTATTGCTAAACTCTCAATTCCTTAAATTTGACAAAAAAATCGAAGCAAATTTATTAAAATGGGCCACATTGCAATACAGTTTCACGAGTTGGAAGAGTAGATTAATTGCCAAAATTAAAATTTTGAGGACAAGTTGCCAAATTCCATAAAAGTTTAGTAGGTAAAATTGTTAAAAACCCCATGGGAATAACTAGCATCACAATTTTTTTCAGAAAAAAAAAGCATCACAATTTTCTAAAACACATCCGAAAAGTTTGTTGATGATACTAATCAAGAAATATCTAAATGAGTTTTACCAAAAGTGATCATAATTCAATTTCCAGCCATTTATTTATTCATGAACATGAATCATATTATATGAGTCTTTATCAACAATACATAAACCATTATTGAAAGTGTTAACCAATATACAACTTTTATCTTCTGAAATGTCGGGAAAGAATTATACTCATACTTCACATGTACGTACAATAAACAACTGATAATGGAGACGAATATAATTATTATTGTATGGATATAATGGAGTAAATAGTGGTCTTGCACGCAATATAGAAGACATTTTGAAACATAAAGGCAAATTTTCTTTGTTTTTATTGGTGAAAGAGTATCGTCATCAATTTCATCAATTTATCCCACTAAAACAAAAGAAAAAAGTACAACGTTCTACAATTATGTACTTTGTTCCGCACGTACAATTTGTATATGAGCATATAATTGATCGATCAGATAAATCTCATTACAAGATAATTCATGCTTTATTGATGATATTTTTTTTTTGTCTGTTCATGTATTTTGAGCTATTTTTTTCCTTTCATGATATATATATATATATATGTATATAGTGTGAGTTTTTTTTTTTTTTTTTTTTTTTTTTTTTTTTAAATTTTTTTTTTTAATGAATCTACTCTTACAATTTTTTTTTAAAAATATACATTTTTAAAAAAAAAATAGACAGTAAAATTTTAATATCGAATATATAAAATTAGAGAGTTTCTCTAGTAGTTCCTCCCTATCGGTAGTCCCAATTTTTAATCATTGGATCTGGTCAAAATAATATCAAATTAAAAAGTATTCAGAACAAACAGATTTTGATACCTGACGGTTGAAAAGTAAGAAACACCATTAATCCCATTTTACAGGGAGTGTAAGAGAAACTCCATAAAAAGCCTTTTAAGTTTAACTTAGTAGGAATGGAAAAGGAAAAAAGAAGAAGAAGGAAAGTATAGAATTATTAAAATGTTTAAACATAACAACAATAAATAAGAAATTTAATAATTTATTTTTTAGAAATATTTTAAATAATTTTAGTTTTTGGTGTAAAAATGCGATAAATTTTGAATTAAAAAAAAGATGAAACTAACTAAAAATATGCGTGTTAAAGTATGCTTATTTTAGTCATCATACTTTTTCACAACAACTTTATATATAGTTTACCAAACATCTAAATTTTTACTTTTAATATTCACAACAATTTTAAAAATAAAATAAAAAAATTACTAAAGACTTATATGTTTCTGGTCACAACAATTTCTAACTAATAGCATATCCAAATTTTTACTTTTAATATTCACAACAATTTTAAAGACTTATATGTTTCTGGTCACAACAATTTCTAACTAATAGCATATCAACAACAAAAAAATTTCAACAGCATAACAATTCCAACTTGACCCTGTAATCTAAGTTGACCTCCCTCTCCCTTATGTGAAGTTATTTTATGCTACTATCGTATACACTGCAAGAGCTAAATGGTTCTTTAAATTTATGCTATTTTTATAATATATCTCATAATCAAATCCCATGAAAGAATAGAACAACAAGATGGCAATGAAGCACTGCAGCCAAAGAAACAGCACCTTTCAGGTGCTGGCAGTGCAACCATAGGCTCTGCAGCGTCTTCCCGAGCATGCAAGCGCGCTGCAGCGCATGTCAGAAAATTCCTGCAGGCTCTAGTGCGCAGGAGGCATGTTGCAGCGCCTACTATGTAGCCCTTCGGGGCCTGTTGCTCTATTTCATGCGTTGCAGCGTGAAAAAACATCCGCTGCAACGCCAATATTGCAGAAAACAACATTTTCGTGTGATTTTAAGATTTGAAACGTTATGAACCATTGTAACTATTGGTGATATATTTTCACACATATTCGAACACCTATTAGCAACAAAGATAACTGTTGTAATAGATGTATTAATCCGTGATGACATAGAATTGGGATGTCGTTTGGCAAGTTTTCATTTGTGGTTTGTGCTTTTGTGCTAAGTCTCACGATTTTGGAGCAAGCACTATTAAGCCCGTTCAGAACTTCAGATGTTTTAATTAAAATTTAAAATTTAATATAAAAGAACACTGTGACAAAGCATTTTAAATGGTTAAATCCTCGTACGAAACTTGCTTTATATGTTTGGTGGGAGAGAGATAGAGGGAGGAAGAGAGGTGGAGGAAGAGAGACGTAAGAGTTTTAGAGTGCGTTTAGAGTAAGGATCTGTGTCATAGTTTAGATCATGATTCGTAACTCGTTACAGTATTTTTTTTTACAAAAAATATACATAAATGATTCTAAATTATGGTTCTGAATCTATGAACTAAACGTCTCCTTAATCTCTTATTTGGTTAGAAAGAGAGGGGGAAGATGAGAGAGGAGAGGTGAAGGGAGACTCTTTCTATCCAGGTTTATTATTTTGCATCTATTTTTTAATGTAAGGATCCATACAATTTACCCATTAAAAACTCAAAAAGATTATTTTATCTTTAAAAAGTTTAGTATAAAATTAATAAAAAAAGATAAATAAATAATTAAATAAATATTAATTTATCCATCATTTTAACTCTCATTTCCTCTTACTAAACAACATAAAATATTACTATAATTCTCTCAATCCCTCACATGTTCTATACTATAAACTTTTTTCATAATGAAAATTGGTTTTTTAGTATTTTTTTTCCCCTGAAATGAGGTGCAAGAGTAGAAGTCAAATAGAAATTATGAGCCCGTTTGATTGGATGATTCGTTCTCTGATTCGAATCATAGTTCATAGTTCGTTATAATATTTTCTCTCATAAAAATATACATAAATTAAAAATAATTCTAATCTTATAATTCTAATTTATAAACTAAACAGACTCTGTATGTTGGAGAAGTCTACGGGAGATACTAGAAAAACTGTCATAAATTTGCATTATATATATAATTGCTCTTTCTTGTCAAAGTCAAAAGTACAATCCAAGCGCCAATACTCTTTATTCCTCCTTTTTTTTAATTATTATTAATATACAAAAAATAAATATAAAAGAAAGATCCCGTCTTAACCAGAAATTTCAAGAAGCTCGTGTTCCTTCTTTTCCATCCAATATAAATACCAAATAACACCATCCAATTTCCACACCAAATCCAAAAAAAAAAAAAAATGTCTCTCTTACAATCTCTCCTTTCCCAACGCAACGCTTTTGATCCTTTATATGGATTCTTCTTTTACGACTTGAGTTCTTCAGGAAATGATAATAGTAATGCCCTGCAGATGAACTGGAAAGAAACTTCCCATTCCCACGTATTCGAAATCGATCTTCCGGGACTCACAAAGGAACAAGTCAAGCTTGAAATCCATGAAGGAAGGATTGTCCACGTCAGCCACTACAAGAAAAAGGGTTTTTCGTAGCGATTAGTTATAGCGTTTTTTAAAAAACGTTACTGTTTTAGTCTATAATAGCGTTTATAAAGAGTTATAATATATATATACATATATATTAAAATTTGTTGACATTTTGACTGATTTGTTTTATATATATTTAAAAATATATAAATGTACAGATTACAATTACATTGGGCGGGCATTGGAAATAAATTTTCCAATTTTCCCGCTCGCTCCCTCCCCCTGTTTTTTTTTTTGCTTTGAAATGCGCGCAAGATACGAGAACCAGGGAAAGGAAAAAAAAAAAAAAACCTCTCATTCTCCCACACTGTCGAATAGTCATTTTGCCGGCCAAGGGAAACAACCTCATTCTCCTATACGGTATTGTGATCACTTTCCCTAAAATTCCTTAAGTTTTCTAAGTTATTTTCGGTAGATATATATATTAAAAAAACATGAAATATTTTAGCGGATTTTGAAAGTAGTTTCCCCCCAAATTTTCATTTTACTCGCAAATGTTTTGGAAGCTTTCAGATCAAAATTAAAATTTACCACTGCATGAGAGAAAGAAGTAGAATGCGGGTAAGTTGTGGAACTGAGAGAGGAGAGCTTTGAAAGCAAAATCTACAAGTGGGATACGACCATAAACCATTCTCAGAGCATAGCTATCCTTCAGAAATCAGCCCCACAAACGAACATCACACATTCCACCACCAACTGCCATCTCCCCATCTCTCTCTCTCTCTCTCTATCTCTCTTCCCAAATTCTCTTCTACGCTTATTCATCAGCGTTAAAAGAGAGAGAAAAACGTGAGAGACTCACGACGGAAGAAGAAATGCGCCGCCGTCGATTCCGACCACCTCTGGCCAACCCATAGTGATCCGAGATCAAATCCAAGAAGCCCATGAGGTGATCTACAAA